CGTTCACCTCAAGGATGGGGCCCTTGCGCCAGTAACCACCGTCGAGAAACTCGACCACATCATTCTCCTTAAACTGCTCCCTCAAGAACAGACTCACATCAACGCCATCGTACTCCCAGCCCATGGCCTCAGGGAACTGCTGAGGCTCACTTTGCAAGGCAGTCTTAGTCTTTCTTGTGCGCAAGGGGGAGAGGGAAGTGAATCTAAGGACTATATCAAAATACATTTTTTAGGGATCCACCCCCTGACTCCCCCTCAAGCAGCAATAATGTATGCTCAATGCTCGAGACAGGCAAAAAAGACACTACTTTCGCTTCCATCCTATGCGGATGGAAAATGTGTCCCTTTTGTAGACCAACAAGTCGTGTCAAGTAGCTTGCTGCTCTGAAGCTGAGGCCCAGCAGAAGACTCCGAAGAAAAGCCATGTCCCTGAAGTCTCAAACCCTGCACTCCAGCACCCGCACACATCCCCGCACATCTCGCCTTGATCGTGGCTATCTCACATTTTTGTGAACCACCACAGCCCACTCCATCCCAGAGGTTTGAGGTCGGCAGATCCTTCATCGGCAGGTAGCCCTTGTCCACCTCGTTCGGAAAGAATACGACTTTTAACCGCTGCTTTCGTTGCGCGGCTTCTTCGACGCGCTCTAGCCAGACAACATACCAGCGGCACCCCCACGCCGCAGTCTTCCCGCAATCTCGATAACTCTGCTCGGCCTCCTCCTCCCGTTGCTGTTTCACCTTTGGGCTGTCATCTGCAAAGGCCACCGCAGCATTCATGGCTTTGGCCTTCTCGTAGATCATGTCGATTTCTTTCTCCGTGCACTTTGCACGCTCCTTCTTGATGTTGTGCAGGTATCCAAAGGTCTTGTAGTCGCGCTCTCCGTAGATGCGTGGGCAGTAGCAACAGCCATCCTTGCCGTCCGGATCCTTGTCGTGCTGGCCTAGCCCGTCGCTGGCCTCAAGGGAAGGGACCTTCCTAACCTGGGACCTGAGCAGCAACAAACCTAAGGGTTCCTACGGAATGTGAGGCGGTATGGAAGTCTGTCATGAAAGCTTCGACGCAGAAACTATGTCACTCCACGAGGTTTGCATAGTTCTTGGGCACACTTCAGCAGAGGGTTACTTCCACCCTCCCTTCGCTTGGCACAAAACTGCCCAAAAGAAAAAAAGTGTGATACGCCTTGTGTGTGTGTGTGTTCAAACGCATGATTGCAATGCTGCTTGGCATGCTGACGTTTGTTTTCTGTTTCCATGTTCTCTGACTTCGGCTTTCTTGGTTCCTGACGTTGGCCTCGTAATCTTCCACAACGGAGCCCAACTTTGCCTTACTGTAATGAAGTCCATTTCAAGTTAGACTGCATTCTCCACTGGACTCTCCAAAATGAAAAAAGTGAAAGATGTAGACTGAGGAACAAAATGCGTGCCTCTCAACATAGGATGCCATAAACTTCGTGACTAGATACGGACACTCTGCAACTAGTGCCTGAGTCGAGCCTTTTTGCGGGGCTCCATGCAATCCTAAAGACGGTTTGTGGTTCGAGGCTTGAACATGAAACAATAAGGCTGCTTCATATATGTATGATGTACTACTCTAAGAGAACAAGCAGATGTCAAGGAAGCCGAAGTCCTATAAACACACGAAACCCTGGCTGGCCTTGCAGAGGAACACGCAGGCCACACTGTCTCCATGTCGTTCTGCGACCAGGGCATCCCAGCCAGACTTGAACTTGCCGGGAAAGGATACCCAACAGACGCCGGCCTCCGTGCAGGTTGCCAATAAGAGCGGCGGACAAGAAAGAAGTCAGTCTGAACAATCGCTGATGCATACAGTTATCAAATTATCGCCCAAACAAAGGCAAATAAAGCCTCTAGACATGTGACAGGTAAACGGACAATGCTTAATATCTTTCATGCTTGCATCCAGCTGTGCGAATGAACGATGCAAGGAACAGATTCGTATTATGATTTATGAGAATCAGAAATTAATATGAATGAAGCTCCTGTACAAATAGAAATCCTAGAATCCTCGTCGGCTTTGATGACTGCATCCAGTTGTATGGAACCTTAAACCCTAAACCCCAAACCCTAAATAGTAGTTTCCATTATATTTTCCATTCTCCCAATATGACCCCTATATGACCCAATATTGTATGAACGAATCATTTCCTCTGTGAGACGAAGAAACCTCGAGCCTCCGGCTTGATACTGCCGTGGTAGGTGATCTCCTCTGCGCCCAGAACGGCTGCCCGTCCCTTTGGGACGAGGTGAAGCACGTCCAAAGCAGCCTCCCGGTGAGGCCGTTGAGAGTTTGGGAGTTGTCCAGAATGATGGGACCCCAATGTAGATCCCCAAGTACTGTAATCCTTATTAATAAGGACCCCCGAAAGGTACCCTGTGGGAAACCCTAAACCCATATACCCCTATATAACCCTTAGAACCCCCAACAATGCAACCCCAATTTTGGAAAACCACCGTGTAAGGTTCAAGGATGAAGGGCAAGTGCGTGAATGCAAAGAATGCGCAGCTTGCAAGCGGAAATGTATACAAGTAAGTGTGTGGTTTCCCAAGATTAGGCTTCAACCTTGAAATGGGTTCCCCAAAATTAGGGATTGCTTATGGGGTGTTTATAGCGGTGGTATAGAGATCTAGGGGTATATAGGGTTTAGGGTTTCCGAAATTAGTGCTACCTTTGTGGGTGCCCCTGAGTTAAAGATTATAGTATACTGGGGTCTATATTGGGGTCCCCCTGTTTAAGCAGACGATCAAGTAAAATCATCCGGCCTCTTCCGGGCTGTCTGGCTCAGAGGGATCTCCAACCAAGGAGGTCATCACGGGTCATCACAGATAACATCACACGGATCATAATTGATTGCGTGCCTGAATGAGAACCCTGATGGAAAGTCGAAGCAAGGGAGGCTGCGAACTCCATGTGGATAGCAAGATGTGATTGCATCGAAAAGCTTTCCTGATCTTTCATGTGTACTCCTGAAGCCGAGCAAGCAAACGGTGTGGCAAGAGTGGGCACTGGCAAGAAACCGCTGTCAAGCCTCGGAACACTCCCGCCCAACGTAACAAAGCCAGACGGCGCAGCTCAGCCAGCAAAATGCAAAGGCAATGCCTGCTAAACTCCGGGACAGGGTCCAGAGCGATGCCGCAAGTTCGGACCAATCTGGCCACTTACCAGTCAAGACCGGCAAAGCGAAGCTTGTTTATGAGTCTGTACACTGTGCCACTGTGCAACATGGGCACATGACTCCAAAGATGGAGCCACAAGTTGGCGAAATGACGAAGTTCTCCTTGTCATCGCCCCTTGCTTTGCTTGTTCGACTTACAGCTTTGCTGCGGTCCGGTGTCAGCTCTCTATGACCCCAAGGTCTCACCTCAGTTACCTTTGCTGCAACCGTTCGGCTGCTGCCTTCAGGTCCGTCGCCCGCACATCATGGCCTCGAGGCACACGAGCAAGGAGCAGTGAGTCGGGTATCAAGACACAGCTTTAGCACAAAACCAGAGCTGCTTCAACACCCAGCAAGCTAGGTCAGCCGCTCAAAAGCAGACCACCAGAGTCCACATGTATTGTGTGGTTCATACGGGAATCTCTCTTCACTTCAGCGCGGCGGCTTTGAGGAGGCATAAGCTGAGTTGCTGTCTGTGCACAGCACCAAAACATGCTGCGCCTGCAGTAGCAGATCTCCTTCGCTGCCGCATTCACAGCCTGCTCGGCAAAGCAATTTCCGCTTGCCCGGGCATTGGGAGCTGGGTGTATTGTTGATCCCCTCCCTGAATATTAACCCCCCCAAAGAACGAACCCCCATACAGTGCCATCACATCTTCGGGGGGTAATGCTCATGAGTAGAGGGGGTGGAGAGTTCATTATTAAGGCGAAGTGAATGAGGGCTGGGAAGATATTGCATGATATTGCTACATACACAAACATGCAACTTGTCGGGCTCGAGGTTGCTGCTTTCATCCGGATATGCTGTGATGGGGCTCTTTCCTCCAGCTTTGCCTCATCCGCATTGAGGAGCTATATCAAAAGAATCAAGGCCACAGCAACCCTTGTCACACAAGCTCTCTGGCACCCTACAACCTACGGATCTGAATGATCAAAGGTCCCCAGCTGAGCCCCATTCTCAAAACCAGCAGCGTCTCACGCTCCAAGGGAAGGTAAAAGCTTGGCTTGAGGTTGCAACCTTTGTATGTCTTACACCTGGTTTCCGACAAGCAGCAGTGGGCAATGACAACGCAAGCTGCTGCGGCCTTGAACGCCACGCAAACTTTAGACCCTAAAGCCGAACCCTGAATCCACCCCAGACTCCAAACTCTAACCGAACCCCCAATCTGAAGTAGCCCTAAACCCCTAAACCCTAAAGCCTTAAACCCTAAACCCCTAAACCCTAAACCCCTAAACCCCAACACCCTCCTAACACCCTAAATCCTACGCCCTAAGCCCCAAAGACCAAGGGCTGGAGCTGGCCTAACGGAGCCAGATACCAAAGGTCCGCCAAGGCAAGCTCCGATCTCCACTCAGGGGTTACATAGAGCCCATGAAATCGTTTAGGGCTTAGACATATGGGAATGGCTAGGAGGCAAAGCGTTCGCAACTTTCACATCCCCACTTCTTGAGGCTCGATAACTGTTAATGGAAGCGGTCTTCCTCACTGGGTTGTGCCCTTCAACCCCCCAAGCCTGAAACCTGGATATATAGGGGTTATATATGGGGATAATGGAAAAGAAACTGGAAACTACTACTAGGGTACCTCTTTGTGCTGTAAGAGATGGGAGAGACCGCCCCTCACTGCGCCAGCCTTTTCGGATTCGTCTTGCTGCGGTTCTTTCGTATTTGTACTCCAGCAGGTCACAACACCAAAGGATGAGGCTCTAAGATGAGCATCTTCTACCTGCTCTTCATGCAAGAGTTCCCTCAATCCCTGAATCCCTAAATTCTGTGAGAGACAAGCGAACCGAAGAGCTGCCTCTTGCAGCTCCAGAATGCCACGCTCGGATCAACTGTCACGGTGCAGACCTCCACAGTGAAGAATTTCAGGGTGAATACAGGTTCGAGGGGTTTCCAAAGACTAGGCGTCCCCACGACGAGGATTCGAACATACTGTGCTCAGAACCGGCGCCTCGGTGAATACAGGTTTTCGTCCAGATCAACAGGACAAGACAAAATGAGTCGACAGGCTCTGCAAGCACTGGTCGTGTTGCGGGATTTAGGGTTTAGGGTTTAGGCCTCGAGAACACCGCAGTCCCAAACACATGGTCCAACAGTGCCAAAGTACCATCAGCCTTTATATGCGCGCTTTGTTTTCCATGTCTCCCCCCCTTGTTTCATTTGTTTTCGGTGCCTACAGTAGGTGTTTTGAGCTTCCTGCGCAGAAAAGCCGAAAACCGCACAGATCGGGCAAGGGTTTGTTTGGAGTTTAGTGTTAAAATGCCAAAGAGCCTTGGGACTGATGCCGATGCAGCCAGTCAACAAACGCTGACCAGCCTCCGGAAACTGATGCAAACTGTTTTCAGATCTAACCACGTGTCTTCGAACCATCAACAATCTGCAACTGCTGAACGATCTCCGTAGTTCTTTTGGACACTTTTATTGGATTCATTTGGCTGGACTGCGAATGTGCACGGAAGGCGCCTCATCTCGATGTGGCTGGCAGAGCCCGAGCACAGCAAATCGCCTCACCGCCAGTCAGCCTGCGGTGAATAAAGTTGTGCCTTGACCGTGTTTCAGCTAGCATCCTCATGGTAGTGGTAGTAGCAGAAGCAGCAGCAGTAGACGAAGCGGCAGTAGCAGTTGCTTGTGTTGCTGTATTGGGGCCAGTAGAACCGCTAGTCAGCGGTACTGGCAGGCTTCAATTCTTGCTGTTCTTGCTGCAGCAAATAAGCTTGCGGCAGCAGCCACGCCGCAACAGGCACCAGCAGCACCAGAGAAGCAGGGGCAGTAGTTGCCGCTGCAATACAGGTAATCTCCTCCCCTATCAATAACCATACCCCGTCTCCCCCTTTAGTACCAGTATAACACAATCAGGGGGAGATTTAATGTTACGGGGGGGGGAGCTTGCTATAGGGAGGGGTGATTAGTATGGGGGCATTGTTCAATAGTTTCACTCGAAGCTCCCAAACGTTTCGATTGTAGCAGTCACCCTTCGCCACTTGTCCCAAACTACTACGGATTGCATCACCTTGAACGAGGGGGGCCTTAGATATATGACCCTGATCCTACATCACTCCTACGGGAATCGACTTCGAAGTTCATGGGACTTAGTAGCTACTGACAAATTGAAACCGTACTCACAACCCTACCTAACTACAATACCCAAAATTCTGCCCTAACCCTAAAGGCATGACCGGGTAACCGGAAGTTTAGCCCCTGAGCCCGAAACCTCAACCCTGATAACGCAAACCCCAAACCCTTAAACCCCCAAAACCTACGTCGCTCGGCCCTGAGCCTCAGGCATCGCCACGCGAGCACAAACACAGACAAAGCAGATCCTCACAACTGGGGCCGTCAAGACGGCTAGAGAGAAGGATAGTCTAAAGCGGTTTGAGGTGCAAAGGGGTGGAGGGTGTAGGGGCATAGGGGTGTAGGGGTTAAGGGCTTGAGGGCTTAATTAGAGTCCCGAGGCTTAGGGTCTAGGGCTCGGAGCTTAAGGCTGAGCGTTTAGAGCCTTCGGCTCTAGGGCGGGCTTAGGATTTCGGTGGCTACG